AACGAGAATTTTATTTCAAAAAAATTAATTTAATATTATTAGAAAATATTTTTTAAACTAATAAGTAATTGTTTTATTGGACAATCAGAATCACGGGTAGAAATCTTTTAAAATATAATAATCGAATTTTTCACTATTCTTGCCCTGATTTTCAAGCCAAAAAGTTTTGATTATGACTAAAACGAAGTACAAATTGTAAAATAATAATAATTTACACATCTCATGAGCAAAACGATATTAATTTAGTTGTCATTATGTGTTATTTAGTTTCTAAATTCAAAGAAAATTTTGAATTCATGCTATATCTTAATGCAAAGTAAATAGTAAAATATGAATGCCATAACCATAAAATGAATAGACTTAAAAACATATGCAACTTATCTCTAAAGTATTTCTTACCTCACATAGAATTTTGAAAATTTTAAATCTATTTATAGATAAACCCGACAAGTTGCCTACCAGCCTCCCCAACAGCACAGGTCTGGTGCCTTGCAGTGCTCCAAATACTTCTGTTCAAGGAAATACAAGCAATTTTGCCCATGGTGCATTTATCTGTCCACCTGGCTACACTTGTAAAGGATACTGGGAGGGTCCTAATTATGGGATTACTAGTTTCGACAATATTGGCTTTGCTATGCTAACTGTTTTTCAATGCATTACGATGGAGGGTTGGACTGAAGTAATGTATAAGGTAATTGTACATATATAATAAAAATGACTATAATTATCGCCTCTTGTATTAAAGTAATTTATTTTTTCTTTAAATTTCTCGCATCTACATCAATTTCTTTCATCCAATTTATGTAGAGATATTCACTCATTGAGATCAGAATATCGAAAGTTTTCAATACTTTTCCAACATAATACAGTTGAAAAAAGCTTAGGTTCTTCAATCCAATGAGAGCTTAACGCGCTATTTGAATTTGAACTACCTTGAAAACAATTCCATTTATAGTCTTATAATACCTGCTATTAAACGTGCAAAAATTTGATATCAAAACGATTTCCAAAAAGAATTTGTTATTAATAATAATATTTATTATACAGACACTGCTGCAAATTTAAGTTTCAACTCAAACCTAAAAATTTGTTAAAAATTTAATAGGAGCGTCTATTACTTACGTTTGTTGCCTAAAATCATAAAATAAGTAGATAATATTCAAGTTTTCTGTTTAAATTTGTTTTGTTTCCACGGCTATCAGATTATCCTTGAACATCTATTCAGAACCTAAGAATCAGTTTCACTTAAATAGCAAGTAATCAGCAAAATTGGTCTCACAGCAATCAAGCCGAATTTAAATAACTTCATTGCTCTCATTAATTTGTTTTATTTGATCAGTTTGAAAGGAAGTTAATGCCAATTGCATAAGGTAGAATAATTTCTATAATATTTTTAATTTTTTAGACACAAAACGTAATTAAGCAAAGATGCTTTAAATTTACACGGCGAAATTTATTAAGTTGCTTTAGCAATATTTTTTCAGTAATTACTGCATATAAACGCATTCAAACTCCTTTGCTTCAAAAATAACACCTATATTTCATGTACTTTGATTAACTAGCAGTCCAGTATCGCATTTTTCTCTAATGTCTAAGTTGCTAATGTATAATTATAAAATAATTTTCTGTATAAAATCATCTGCTACCTCAATTGAATATATTTTCAGCATGAGACTTGTAATCAGATACATGTTCAAACTTCATTGTCATTCAAGCAGTCGAGCTAAGACCAATCTATTTTACTAGTAAATTTAATATTTATGATCAAAGTTATTCAAAAGTTTATCCCGGATAATAGGAGATTTGAAGACCAAGCTTTTAAGACCTTTATTCTGGTCTCAGTCTTTTTTCGCTGTAAAAATATGCTTGGACTCATTTTCTCAATTTGATCATGTTGACAGGGCGAACTGGTTGGACGCGCCTTGCCCAAATTCCTTTGCTATAGTAGTTACGAAAATTTT